GCTTGGCTATTGAAGTGCCGAAAATCTCATTTCCTGTATCTTTTCCACAAAAACCCACTTGAGGCTTGCCTTTGGATGGAACCAAAGGAAAGCCTGCCCTTGGCTGAGAGCTTAGGCACCTGGATCACAAGTCATCAATTCTGACTCTCCTCCATGCCAGATTCACACAGCTGTGATTTGTGGGCATTTTTACTGGAGGCTTGATGGACTAGGCCTCAAAATAAACATTAGCTGGGTCACAGATCCACACATCCCGTGTTCCTCATCTGGGAAGTTCGGGAGATACCACCACTGAAGGCCTGGAGTAGGCAAGCTTCTGTAAGTATAGCCTTGATGAGTCTCCCTGGGGTTAAGGAAGGACTAGATTTTTTAGTTCTTTTCTATCCTTGTGCCCCAAGAGGTATTTGAGTCACCTTAGATGAGCATGAGAATCAAATCCCCCCCTGATTTATATTGAAACTGGAAAATGCATCCCATGCCCTACTGGAGATTGTTTTCTCTACCTTGGGTTCCTTTTGTTTCCCTCTAGGATGAGCTGTCCTACTGAGCACTGGTGAGCCACTGGTTGAGGTCCCCTCTGGAAGGGAGAGGTCTGCACTTCAGACTCGAGCCCAAGCCAAGTGCAGCCCTCATCAAGGTATGAGGATGACTCACTTCTGCTCACCCTTCTGACTGTATTTCTCTGTAGGATGTGACACCTGTAACCGGGCAACGAAGCACTGGTGAGTGACATCACTTTTTTTGCAACAAGTTTGGCAGCTGTATGGAATGACTTACAGGAAAAAGAGCTCCACATCATAGACATTGGATTCCCAAGAAAAAATTCACGTGATTGTGTGCTCTGCTGCTCTACCTGTCATCCCTTCCCCAGGGATTTTATTAGAGAGAGGACTAATTTAGCGAATTTGCTAAAGGTTAAATGTCTCAAAAATATAGTTTCCAAAGGAGCCACAAATATTGATGGCCATGTAGAACAGAGATATCAGATTAGCGACCCCACTGAGAGACTAATGGAGACTCAGTTTTATTAATAAAGACCAGAAAATCAAAAAAGGAAAGAGCCACCAAGAATCAGACTTTGTAAGTCCCACCGCTTATGAAATTGCTCACTCCTACTTGTTATTACTTGTCTTCATAAAAACATTGCCTGTCTTCTCCCTCGGGCATCTGTTACAAGTGTTACTGAAGATGTCCTTGCAGAAAGAAAACAATTATTTTAATAGCTCCCTTTAATAAGAATACAGGCACCGCAGTTAACCAGCTGCCTTTTTGAGCCCTTGCCCGTTAAGAGCCCAGTGCAGCAGGTCTGAAAACACAGGGTGTAAAAGCGTGATTGCCGAGCCCCCCAAGGCTGTGTGAGAGCTGGAAAAGACACTGCTATCACATGGTGGGCTGGTAGGAACTGCAATTGCTGCCTGAACACCGAAGGCAAACTCTGTGTTTTTCTGTTGAGTAACATCTTCTGGCTCCTTCTATCCCTCATCATAAAACCCAGTTTATTTACTTAGAGCCTCTGCAGTATAGATGAAGCATGTTAAAAAGTGTAAAAATAGATTAATTGATTCTTTTAAGACCAACTTAAAATGCTAAGAAGTTAGCCTTTAAAATCTGTTGGCCTGTAGGCTGAATTTTTGCATCAATTATGCCAAAAGACATTGTTCATGAGTACCTGCTCCCACTTCATCAGGTTCAAGCACTTTCATATCATCCTTAAACATTGCATTTATAGGCCTGGAGTACTGCTGAACCTCCTTCATATGGAAAAGGTTTAGTTTTGTTCTTTCATCTTAGAAGAATTCCTGCAGGGAAGAGGCATTTGAGACCTCCAGAGCTGGCAAGCAGGTGACACAACCCTGCATTTCTCATGTGGCCAGCTGCTTGCCCTGGTGCCACTCAGCTGTCCAGAAACCTCTTTCACTACCAGTTTAGGGGGACAGGATGTGAGATGCTCAGTTGAGGAGGGCTGTAGACAGTGGCAAAGCAAGTCCAAGATCAACAAATGGTCACTGGGCAATGACAAAACCATTGTTATCTAGCTCCTTGCTTTGTAACACTGTCAGGTAAAACAAAACAAGACTCTGCAGGAAGTGTGATGGCTGCTCCCAGGGGCCTTTTGAGATGTCCCCCCACACCTCTCACTGCTGGAGCCTGCCTGGCCCTGTGAGGTCCTCCCCAGATTCACACCCTCAGAGCAGTGAAACTCAATTTTGCTGTCACTGAGAGGTTTCTAAGCTAGCCCTGGCCAGCAGCCAGCTGCTCAGTAGGCAGCAAGCTGCGGATCCTGAGGAATAAGCCACCCACGGTGTCTCAGAGCCCTCTAAACCTGTTGGGGCTGACAGAGATTCAGAAATCCTGGTTTCAAGGCCCCTTGCCAGGATAGGTGCCAAGCTAGACCAGGGAGACTACCTGCCAGCCAGTGATCACCAGGAGACCATGATCAATCCATCTTTCTTGAATAAATTGACATACACTGAGCTCAGGATTGGATCAAAGATAAAATCTAGTATTTACCTGGGTTTCACGAGATTTATTTTCTGTTGCCTACACTGGCTGTCAATAATTTTGCCATTGTTTTTTCAATTATTTACTGACTGAACCTCATTTTAATGGATTGCCTCAAATTAATGGATTGCCCAACACTGATGTCAGGCCAGTTGACATATTTTTTTTTCTTTTGTTTTCTGTTTAACCTTTTCACATCTTTTGGTGCTTTCCTGAAATGTGCCAAAGATTGACTCAGATCTCAGCAAGCTTCTTCTAACTGTCAACAACAACTGAAAATACAGGTATGGGGCTAATGGAATGACATTCTCACCCCCAGCCCACATTTCACATTAGCATGAGGTCATATTCAGGATTAGGTGATGGGACACTTGTTGCCTCCCTCAGCTGCATCCAGTCTCGTGGGTTATTTTGGTGCTACAGATTCAAGAAATGATGAGTAGGTGCTGTCAACAGAAAGTGCTGGACAAAAGGGACATCTGTTTTCTTTCTGAAGCTGCTCCTGCTTTTTTTCTTAAACACAGAATACCTAGTGCTGCCTGCAATGTAGATGACGCCTCAGATGGATTTGGGGGCTTTTCAGCTTCAAAACTTAGTTAATGAGCCTGGATCAGTGCAAAACAACCTGCTGTAGAAAGCAAAAGAGTGTGTTCTCCATTGAGATAACAGCTTGTGGAGCTATTACTGTAATAATACTGCCTCACAAAGAATACTCATTTCAATGGTTAATTGTTTCCAGCTCTGTGCTGGTATCATCCCAGCAGGAATAGGCCCAGCATGACTTCTGCTGCATTGGCCACTGCTATCGCAGCGCACAGAGCACTTTCCAGCAGACGTGGAAGCATTTAATCACCTAAGCGAGCGCTTTCTCCGCTCCAGCAGTCAGCAGAGAGCCAATGCCCTAATGCAGCCAGTGCCCTAATGCAGCCAGTGCCATTCCCGTAAGGATAATTTGCTAACTCCGCTGCTCGGGCGAACAGAAGGGAAATGTGTGATGCGCAGCAGAGTATCCAGAGCCAGCGTTAAAGCACCCGTGCCCCTGTGCAGTCTGAGAGCCTGGTAAAGCCTGGTGCAGCCCGCACTCCCTAAAGCACGTCACATTCTCCTTCGGCAAGAAGCTGAATAAATGTAACTTTTTATTTCAGGTGGACGCAAATCATTTCCATTAGCTTGCCATGAAAACTACATGCACAAGCTGCTATTGCAAGTGGTTTCATTTTCATTAGAGGGCCAACCAAGAGTCTTGATGTTGAAAATACATATGTACCATATTCTATGCAGCTAAAAGAAATACATAGAGAGAGACTGTCAGAAGAAGGCAGCATGAGGGCACATAGCTGGCATCTACTATCATATGTTTGCTCTTTCTCTCAATTCCCCCTTCCTTTCAATTGCACCCACCGATTATATTTCGATTCATTGACATTGCAGTCACTTCTGTGTGGGCACAGTCAAGCTAGTTTCAAATGAGCTAATTTGGCTACAGATAACATTGCAGACAGTGCAGCATGGGACTGGATGCAGTAGAAACTGGGTAAATATTTCAGTGGCTTCACCAAAATGGGCTGTGGTGGGCTGCTCTGGCTCTCAGCACTCGAACAAACTATGCTAAAGACAGCTAAATCACACGGGCAATACACAGCCACGATTTCAGTGCAGAATGAGGTTACTGTCAGGGAATGGGTAGGCTTGTTGCAGACCACCACCCCGGCTGAGACAGACCGAATGTGTCCAAAAGCAACAATCTGTTGGGAGTTTCAGTTTGTTCAGCACTCTAATAATAATAATAATAATAATAATAATAATAATAATAATAAAAGGAAAAAATGCAGACTTTATCCCGATGTATAACTGGAGGAGCACAAAACAAATGGAGATGACTGATGAGGCTTTCATGAGGTCTGAAAACACACCTATGCCCCACCACATGCAGAGAGACGAGCCCAGGGAACTCCTAGGACAGTAAAGCTGCAGGGAGCGTATAAACACCTAAGACCTCAGCGTCCTTTCACTTGGGGACGGAAAACGCCCGCCCTCAGCGGCCCGGCGACACCACGGGGGACGTTCCCAGTCGCCCTGGTCAGCCTCCCTCCTCCTCCGCGCCCCAGGCCGGCCGCGGGGCGCCGCTCCCCGCCCGCCCGGCCCGGCCCGGCCGGTCCCGCTGCCCGGGCGGGGGCGGCGCGGGTGACGCCCGGGGGGCGGCGGCGGCGGCGGCGGCCCCGCCTCGCCCGGCCGAGGGGCGGGGGCTCCCGCGGAGCTACTACTGCCGCCGGCTGCGAGCGCCGGGGCCGGAGCGGGCAGCGGCTGCAGAGGCTTCTCCGGCGCCGGGCAGCGGCGGTGCCCGAGGAGGGAGGAGGAGGAAGAAGAAAGGCGCGGGGTCCCTCGGCGGGGCGCAGGGCTCCGCTGACCGGGCGTGTGTGGCGGCGCGGGGTCTGTCCGCAGCTGCCCCGCCGCCGCCCGGTCCGCCGCCGGCTTCCCGCCCAGGTCCATGAGTCGCGGGCGGGCAGCCCCGGCAGCGCCCCGCGCCCGCTCCCCCGGCTCCGGCAGCGGCCCGTGGCGGCGGTGAGATGGGGGGCAGCCTGGGCTGCCACCGCTCCATCCCCCGCGACCCGGCCGACCTGTGCCACAGCCGCAAGTTCAGCGCGGCGTGCAACTTCAGCAACATCCTCGTCAACCAGGAGAGGCTCAACATCAACACGGCCACGGAGGAGGAGCTGATGACCCTGCCCGGGGTCACCCGAGTGGTGGCCCAGAACATCGTGGAGTACCGCGAGTACATCGGCGGCTTCAAGAAAGTGGAGGACCTGGCGCTGGTGAGCGGGGTGGGGGCGGCCAAGCTGGAGCAGGTGAAGTTCGAGATCTGCGTGAGCAGCAAGGGCAGCTCGGCGCAGCACTCGCCCAGCTCCGTGCGCAAGGACCCGGCCTCCGAGCACCACCTGTCCGCCACCAAGATCAACATCAATACGGCCACCCCGGCACAGCTCATGAGCATCCGTGGCATCACCGAGAAGATCGCCAACAGCATTGTGGACTACCGTAAAGAGCATGGGCCTTTTAAAAGTATTGAGGACCTGGTGAGGATGGACTGCATCAATTCCTCCTTTCTGGACAAAATAAGGCACCAGATTTTTGCAGAGCGCTCCAGACCCCCTTCAACAAATACCAACGGTGGCCTCAACTTCATGGCCAAGCCGCACCCCAGCCCCACCTCTCTTAGCCTCCAGAGCGAGGACTTGGACTTTCCTCCCGGGGGTCCAACCCAGATCATATCCACTCGCCCCTCTGTGGAGATGTTTGGGGGGGTGAGAGATGGCAGACCTGTCTTCAGGGTGGCTACGTGGAATCTGCAAAGCTGCTCCATCGAGAAGGCCAACAACCCGGGCGTGCGGGAGGTCGTGTGCATGACACTGCTGGAGAACAGGTAAGAGGCAGCACCTGACCTGCAGGCCCAGCTCCACGCAGGATTGTAGGCTCATGCCTTTGAGGTTTGGGCACTGTAGAGCCTTGTTGTGATCCTAGTGGGACTCGCTCTTTCTCGGGATTACTAAATGTTCCCACTTCTTGCAAGAAGCTCTGTTTGAGACATAGCACTGGGATTGTAGTGGCTGTCCCTGGATAAAGCTGCTGTAACCCTTGATAGGCAGCAGAGCTCCTGAGGAGCAGGGGAGACTGGGCTGGTACAGTCACCTTAGGCCTGTTAATGGTTGGTCAAGGATTGTTTCTCCATTAAGAGCCTTTTGAACATGTCATGGAGAGCTGCCTTTCCTGCCAGAAGCTGGAGGGCAGTAGCAGGAGAAGGACTGTGTAACAGGTGTGGAATGCCACAGCTCGTCCCGCAAGGGTGACACGGCTTGTTAATGAGTGCTCATGGGGCATCTTCTGAGCTGGAGGGACTGCTCATCCTTGAGCGTATGAGACATGCAGCACCTGCCTGCCTGCTGTGCTGTCCTTGTGCCAGCCTTTGTGCCCTGACTGCGCCAAGCACTTGGTGGTGTCGCAAACAGGATGGTACTTCAGGTGTTAATGAAAAGCTGAGAGTTTGGGTTTTGTTTTTTGTGTGTAATTGGGCAAGAGTGCTGGGGATGTCTGTTGTACTAAACTTTCTGCTGGACACAGAAATGTAGATTGCAATAAGCATTTTGAAATAACTCTAGCCCTTGCCTTTTCATGTCAAATCCATCCCAGCTGATCTAGCATTTAGTTTACAACAGAGGTAAAGTTACTTTTCTCTCTGGCTGCAACTCATGCTTCCAGCAGGAAATGAATAAGGGCAGGGGACTCCTGGGCTTTTCTGAAAGGGATGGGAAGTGCTCATGAACTGTTATCTCTGTCCTTTTCCAGTAATATGCTGAATAACAGCTCTTGTCAGTGCGGTTGCAGAGGTCAGGCATGCAAGCAGGATGGTGACAGTGATGTGCAACCCTGAAGTCCTGTGCTGCAGTACAGTATTTGTGGCTGCTGTGCACTGCTTGGGAGCCTGCTGCTCCCACATAGGAAACATCTGAACATCTGTCATCTCACAGCCACCACTGTTTGGTACCCAAAATGAAGATGATAGACCAGCAGGGTTATTGAGATGTTACACTGATAGCTTCAGTCTAACATCTGTCAGTATTCTGCTTCACTAGTTCAGTTCAGGTATTCCTGTGCTTCCCCCTTTGTCTCCACTC